TAATTTTGGCTGTTGATGATCATGCGAGTTTTAACACGAATGGAGAAGTAATATCCGTTTCAAATAGTAGGGTCATTCTTTCGAGAAAATTAAGATATGTGTGTGTGTGCGTGCGTGCGTACGTGCGTGCGTGCGTGCGTGCGTACGTGCGTGCGTGCGTGCGTGCGTGTGTGTGTGTGTGTGTGTGTGTGTGTGTGTGTGTGTGTGTGTGTGTGTGTGTGTTTGTGTGTGTGTGTGTGTGTGTGTGTGTGTGTTTGTCTATGTGTGTGTGTATGTGTGTGTGTGTGTGCGTGCGTGTGTTTGTTTAAGACAGAGTGTATGTATGCACGCATGTATTGTTTTGGTTATACTGGTGGTCTGTGTGCGAGTGTTCGCGTTTGTATTTGTATGTGTCCGCGTATGTACATGTATTTGCGTAAATTTGGCTTTATACATAAAATATCAAAGAAAGTAAGAACCAGTGTAACCACAATCTCCCGGCAAAGCGGTCGGGCAAACAACACATCAGGGAGACGAGGTATAAAGAGAAATGCTGTGGGTCCGATAGGAATAAGGGAAATGGAATAAAATAGGGAAGAGGGCAAACTGCGAGGATAGAAGAGAAAGAGAGAAAGAGAGAGAGAGAGAGAGAGAGAGAGAGAGAGAGAGAGAGAGAGAGAGAGAGAGAGAGAGAGAGAGAGAGAGAGAGAGAGAGAGAGAGAGAGAGAGAGAGAGAGAGAGAGAGAGAGAGAGAGAGAGAGAGAGAGAGAGAGAGAGAGAGAGAGAGAGAGAGAGAGAAGAGAGAGAGAGAGAGAGAGAGAGAGAGAGAGAGAGAGAGAGAGAGAGAGAGAGAGAGAGAGAGAAAGGAGAAGAGAGAGAGATAAATAGCAAGACAACCTGCCAAAAACATGTGGGATCCGCCAACCAATCTCGTACTTTTGTCTCCATGGCAACAAGGACGCTATACTTCTTCTTCGTGGAGGCAAACAACACTATGTGCGAGACGACAAACAGTCTATTAGTTAGGAACACCTGTTCTCCTGTAACAAAATTGACAATTTTTTTTTTTTTATGAATCTGAAATATGTTGACTTCTTTGTACTTCATAATCAACATCTTAAGAGAGTACACACACACACACACACACACACACACACACACACACACACACACACACACACATATATATATATTTATCTATCTATCTATATATCTATATCTATCTATATATATCTATATCTATCTATCTATCTATCTATATATCTATATCTATCTATATATATCTATATCTATCTATCTATCTATCTATCTATCTATCTATCTATCTATATATGTATAGAGAGAGAGGCAGAGAAATAAATAGACAAATAGATAGACAGACAGACAGATAGATAGATATAGATAGATAGATAGACATAGAAAAATAAAGAGAGAGGGGAAAGAGGTGGGGGAAGGTAAGGAAGGAAGGGGGGGGAGGACACAGAGATTGATAGAGAGAAATAGATAGACAAATGGATAGATAAAAAGAAAGAATGCAAGACAGATATACGAATGGATAAAGAGATAGACAGAAAGGCAGGTAGTTAGGTAGATATATTAACAGATAGATAGAAAGAGAGAGATTCCACACAAACGTGTAGGTATGTGCGTACGTTCAGAGTAGCGAAAGAGTATTCAAGAATATTCTTAAATGTTCTAGAAATCTTTACGTTCTATAAAAGGATCTCCATGTGCCCTGGACTTCCTTTTTGCTAAAAAAATATATATTTTCATTATTTTCTTGCGACATCCTCTTCTTCCTGGCCGGAAGGGATGAAAAATAGGCAAGATTAAACAGGGAACTGATGGATCCGGTGTCCTTTGAAGGCAGACTCAAAATTTTCGTAAAGTGTTGAAACTACAAAGAGTTCGTTCTGGTCTCACACGGCCTCGACTCCGCTGGATGTCCCTCCTTGCTCTGTGTGCGTTTCTCTGGCTCGTCTCCTTCCTCCCTCTTTCTCTCCTTTTTTTCCCCCCTTTCTCTTTCTCTTTTTCGTTCTTCCTCTTTGCTGTTCACCCTCTTTCGTTCTTTCGCTCTCCTTTTATTTCCCTTTTCTCTTTCTATTTTTCGTTCTTCCTCTTTGCTGTTCACCCTCTTTCGCCCTCTTTTTTTTCTTTTATTTTCTTTGTTATTAATTCTTTCTTTTCTGGACCTGTATTGCTAGTCTTTGTCTTGTTTTCGGTCGTTGCCTCCGTCTCTGCCTGCCTGCCTGTCTATCTATCTATATGTCTGCCTGCTTGTCTGTTTGTCTGTCTGTCTGTCTATTCATATATCTGTCTATCCGTCTGCCTGTCTGTCTGTCTGTTTATATGTCTATCTGTGTGTGTGTTTGTCTGCCTGTCTATATATCTGCCCGCCTGCCTGCCTGCCTGTCTGAAAGTCTTTCTCTCTCTGCCAAAAAATAAAAGAATAACCTGTCGAGATGAATAACAAAATCCAAAGGGAGTGAATAGTTCAAAAGCTCAGAAAAAGTTATTAACCGACACTGTTTTTTGAGTTCACCGTGTCTTGATAAATGAATATCTGATAGGGATTTAATTCGATAAGTGCTCTGTATCAATAAGTAATGCAAATAATATCTAGAACGATTAAGAGGAGGATTTTTTTTTATATCAAGGTGATGGTGCACTTGGGAGGTTATTTAATTATTAACAACATGCAACAAGTCGGGAAAAGCATCGCTGTATTTCAGGTAATTAAGACTCATCAACGCGAACCTGTTAGTTACTTAATTAATAATCATCCTTACCATCATGTCAAGCTGTCATAGTCTTAGCAAAACTAATAAAAAAAATTGTGGCATTTGCAATGGTAAAAATCCTGACGATAGAAATGTTAATAGCAGTAGTTACACCGATGATAGTGATATTGAATTTGCAATAAGCATTCCGGAAAAAAAACATCGAATTAATAGAAAACGAAGACTCTGTGCCAACGAAGACAAACAAACGCAAAGTTTTGAATAGAAGTGAAATTGAGTCAAAGATCAAGGAAACCATCCAACTGTTGCAAAATCTCACTTCAGGTTACATGATCGTATGAAATGCTAAATCATAGCACAATATATTAGACGTATAACTCCTCTAAATATGAAGTCTTAATTACAAGAACTTTGTTGTTCATAAGTTGCCACTTGTTGAACACAGTAAATCACTCAAGATTACTGCTTCTTGTTCCTAGATTATATTAGAGTAACATATCAAAATAAACTTTAGAATCTGTGTTATGTAAGGTTTGCGAATAACAGCAAAAAAAAAAAAAAAATACAATTACAATTCAATACCTGAAAAGGGTCTTAAATCCTTTTCAGTGGGATAGAATTCTACTTCACTAGTAATATCTGATATTTTCTTGCTAAAGTTCTATAAAGGAAAGTGTTTTATAATGATATATATATTTTTTTCATTTTTCCTGAGAAAGGGACGGTCATTTTTCATGTTTTTAAATGGGCGCGTAACAAAACAGGATAACGATACAAATACACTAAAACAACTTAATAGAAGAATAAATTTAATTTTACACCTACTGGCATCAAAAACACACATACTCATCTCTGTTAGTCTGCCTTCCTCTCCCTCCCTCTCTCCCTCTATCTGCCTCTCTCTCTTCCTCTATCTGTCTGTCTGTCTGTCTGTCTGTCTGTCTGTCTGTCTGTCTGTCTGTCTCTCTCTCTCTCTCTCTCTCTCTCTCTCTCTCTCTCTCTCTCTCTCTCTCTCTCTCCATATCCTCCCTCTCTATATATCTATCTAACTACCTATATATCTCTCCATCTATCCACCTGTATAACTATCTGCCTATCAATATTCATACGTAAATGCTGTCTGTCTGTCTACCTCTATATCCACCTTAAGTACAGGAACACACAAACATCCACAAGATGGCAGGAGGAGCGGATAATATCCTCAAACATCTACGCTAATAAATATTAATAACGGCGACGACGCGAGATGCATACAAGCGGAGCAAAGATCCATCATTTTCTTAGATTAATGTGTTGTGAATATCCGATAAATTACTTCATTATTAAACGTCTTGGAAGCTCGTAATATCCCCGATAGGGAGTTGATGTATGATCCCGTTTTCTATCTCCGTTTTCTTTTCTTTTTAAATCTCGTTTTCTCTTATGGCCGCAAGAGACAACACAAGATTAGAATAACAAAAGATTATCATAGCGGTACGTCTTCTCGGAGCTGGAAAGTTGAGGAAAGTTGTTGAAGTAATGGGGCTTAAGACAAAGTTGGTTTATGATATGATATAGTCGTAGCAACACATCAAAAAGCACTTTCTCAAGGCGCGATGACAGGGTTATGTGGGACAAGAGGCTAGTCCTTTGGCATTCTTTGTTTTTGTGTGTATCGTATATTTCCTCCACTCTCGTTTTTAAATGGGATGCCAGCCTTAGACACATTATTCCCTCTAAAGGTGCCGTTTAATATCCCCCTCTCCCTAGAATAAATCATGATCAAAATTAACTATTTTTCCCCCCGTAAAAATGGTGCGTCTAATCACCCCTTCTGTCTTTAATAACCGTAATTTTTATCTCTTATCTCGTCATAGACAAAATATCGACATTGTAACTGGAATCTCTCTCTCCCATTTCCTTACGTCGCTGATCCGAGATAATGTGGATCCACTCTAGGTACGCGACATTTTTACTAACGATGAAATGTAGAAAAATCTGGATCCATTTTAGGAACGGCTGAAAGTGAAGCGGTTCGTAACAACTCGGAATGCTGATCTTTTCTGGAAAAATGAAATGTTAATCCATTAGAGATATCGAAATATAAGGTCAATTTAGAAAATCAGAATATAGATTATCAATAAGATTTGTTATTTCCGCGACAGTATCATTGGTAATACACTACTACTAGTGATAATAATGACTCTTTCCTCCTCCTCCTCCTCCTCCTTCTTCTTCTTCTTCTTCTTTCCTCCTCCTCCACTTCCTACTTCTCCTACTTCTCCTCCTCTTGCTCCTCCTCCACCATTTCCTTCTCCTCCTCCTCCTCTTCCTCCTTCTCCTCCTCCTGCTCCTCCTCCTCCTGTTCCTCCTGCTCCTCTTCTCCCTTCTCCTCCTCCTGCTCTTCCTCCTTCTCCTCCTCTCGCTCCTCCTTCTCCTCCTTCTTCGCTTTCTCCTCGTCCTCCTCGTCCTCCTCCATCTCCTCCTCCTCCTCCTCCTTCTCCTCTTCCTCCTTCTCCTCCTCCTCCTCTTCTTACTTCTCCTCCTCCTCCTTCTCCTCTTCCTCCTCTTTCTCCTTCTTCTCCTCCTCCTCCTCCTCCTCCTCTTCCTCCTTCTCCTCCTCCTGCTCCTCCTTCCCCTCCCTCTCCTCTTCCTCCTCCTCTTTCTCCTTCTCCTCCTCCTCCTCCTTCTCCTTCCCCTCCTCCTCCTCCTCTCCCTCCTTCTCCTCCTCCTCAACCTCCTCCTGCTTCTTCTCCTCCTCTTTCTCCTCCTCCTCCTCCTCCTCGTTCTCCTCCTCGTTCTCCTCCTCCTCCTCTTCCACCACCTCCTCCTCCTCCCCCTCGTTCTCCTCCTCCTCCTCTTCCACCACCTCCTCCTCCTCCTCCTCCTCTTCATCCTCCTCTTCATCCTCCTCCTCCTCCTCCTCTTCCTCCTCCTCCTCCTCCCCTTTCTCTTCCTTCTCCTCCTCCTCCTCCTCCTGCTCCTCCTTCTCCTCTTCCTCCTCCTGCTCATCTTCCTCCTCCTCCTCCTGGTCATCCTCCTCCTCCTCCTCCTCCTGCTCATCTTCCTCCTCCTCTTCCTTCTCCTCCTCTTCCTCCTCCTCCTCCTTCTCCTCCTCCTCCTTCTCCTCCTCCTCCTCTTCCTCCTGCTCCTCCTCCTCCTCCTCCTCCTCCTCCTTCTCCT